ATTTTATTATATCGTGATAGAAACAGTTAAACCATAGATTCTTGTTAAGTTTCTTTTTTTATTATTTTAGTCACGGTATAGCGGCTCATAACATTAAGCTTGCGGGGATATTACGCTCAAAATCTAGATTCGATCACAGCAGTCGACACAGTGCTTATAGCTCATTAATTAGCTTTGCACTAAACCAAATGCTAGTGTCATACTAGATGCATTTTTCGTTCATAAGATACATATTAATAACATCTACCTTTCTCGGTTATTCACATTTTTCACATTCTTTTTCTGTTTCAAAGACCCATACATTTTTGCTGGGGTATAAGTAATGCATATTTTCGTCTTGGTTGTTTTTACAGTTCGTTGATGTACTTAATGTACTGTAATTCACTTTTACATACACAAAATTTCCTAGAAAATAAAAGAGGCTAAATAATCAAGTGAAAGTCGAATATTAATTAACCAACATCGATTATTACTCCAATTTGTTAATTGTCGCTTTGCAAGCAGATGTTGACTCTAAGACTTATATATATATTTTTCCCATTTTATTTTATAATTAAACTTTGGTAAGTAAAGAAGTATTTAATCAACAATATAAGTGTACGTACTGTTTGTTTGTAATCATGCACAAAGCTACACAAAGGGCTATCTGTGCTCTGCCCACCACGGGTATCGAAACCCGGTTTCTAGCGTTATAAGGCCGCAGACATCCCGCTGTGCCACTGGGGGGGGGGGCGGTGTACGTACTAGGTCTTATTTTTGCATTTAAAAATTTTAACTGTGTCATTTTTATCTATATCGTATTTAACACTAAATCGGTCATTTTGAATAATTTGGACGTTTTTATCTCAGCTAAACCTTACAGTAGATTTTATCTGAGTTATTTAATATCATCAAATATTCCACCTATTCCCGCAACGGTTGGTTCTTCGCTAACATTGGAAAGGTTTCTCTTTCTTCAGAAATGTGTACAACAGTTTTTATAGTATTATACTTAAACATTAATCTAGCACATGATTAGTTCGCACGTATTGAATTGCAGATTGATCAATGACATTGAAAGTTTTATTTTTAAAGGCTAAAACCGAAAAAATAAAAGGAAATTACTATTCGCAGAGCTAAGTACGTCATATCATTGATGCTTGCCAGGTGATGTCGTAATTAATTCGGCTATACGTTTCGTGCAATATTTTTGATGTTCTAAATTTTAGGTATTACAAACATCTCTTTCAAATGTATAATTGGGATAACATTTTCAAACAACGTTTAAAGATTTTGATGATGTATCGCAATTCGTTTCTGATTATTTTAAACACTTTTATTAACAGTACTTTGACCTTTTATCCAATTTTAGCTGCGGCACAGCAGATCATAGAATGGCTCTGAGTTTGTCTTTTGTTGTTGTTTTTCAAGTACAAACTCTTAGCTCATAGATCCGTCAACTCTTGACCGATTTGAGATTTAATTACAGTTTTGGACTCAAGAGTTCAAACCCTTTCGATTGATGTATTTTACCATGCCCAAGGTATCATAAGTTAATTTACTCTAATCCTCCCTAAAATAATTTCAATTTTAGGATAGGCTTGTAGAGATCCTAATGAGTAAAAAAAATCGAATATGGTATACGCGTGCCCCACGCTTGGTATTGCTGGCGCACAAAAATATAGCTAATAAAAAAACAACAACAGGTCTTATAGATTAATTTACTCTAATCCTGCCTAAAAGAATTTCATATGCCACGGCTAGTGATGATTCCCTCTTGTTTCAGACAGTAAGACAATACCTACGAGAATTTGTATAGTAATTACTTGATTACAACAAAACATGCGTTGAAACAATATTCGTTTAGATTAAAGTTTTAAAATTCAATTAAGCTCTGTTTGTAGCTTTTTTTTAATACGGAGTTACAAAAACCTTGTTACAAAACTCTTAGTTCTCAGCTTAATAACTGATGGGCCTTGTTTAGGAGCGAAAAGCCTTGTTAGTATTGGATATAGCAAATATATCGTGGTTGACAAGTGACATTGTTCTTCTTTAATGTCAATTTTAAGTCCTTAGAATATCCATGTACAAATAAATTAGAAACACTTTCAAAGTTTTCAGGATTTATCTATTTTAATTATGTGAAACTTTTATATAATTGCTATGAGATTTCTTTATCGTGTATCATTGTCCATAAGTCAGAAAATATAGTGGTCTCAGATTTTATGCAACTTCTGTTGCTGGCAGTGGAAACCTTGTGTCACAAGAAATGCTCATTATTTGGGGTATTTTTAAGACAAGTGTTTTGATAAACCAACAGTTCATTTATACAACTTCTGTACCTCTTATTCTCTGTTGTAATTCATGTTTTCATAATTGTATGAGAACATTTAAGGGCACATACTAAGGATTTTCAGCTTCATTGGCTTTGAACTAACGTTAGAAGTGGAATGTTGTGCTTTCGCATCTTGATATGTGTGTGTGGGAGGGAGGGTATTGATTAATGCAAAATACCTAACTTCATAATGAATTTAACAAAACCGCGAGGTGTTTTATTTTAATAGATATGCGGGATAAATTAATATTTTAACGGAAAGTGGGTATCGTTGGTTATTTGTAGAATTGCTATAAGAAGGCAAATTTAGACTGGTTCAGTTAGCTATAGGGATCACAATGCCAACAAAGTAGGGACTGAAAATCGTTTTAAAATCTATCCAACTAGTATCACTTTACTTGTTTGTGCACTTTTTATTGCAGCAATTATTTTGTTTTGGATACTTCTTATAGCAATTCTACGAATAATTAACTGATTCCTACTTTCCTTAAAATATTATATATTTTTTTTTTCCTATTTATTTGTTCAGTTTTATACGTCCACGGAATTGACATAATATCTATAAACTTTGAGTATAGCCATATCCCTCATATCTATAATTTTTACAAGAATTAAAACCACAATCAAAAATTTATAAAATGTGATCCTTACTTTGGCCTACAGATAAGTGTATAAAGCTGTCAAAGTAGGGATTAAATTTTATACATTTTTTATTGTGGTTTTAATTCTTGTTTCATTACTTTTTGTAGCAGGATC